TAGGATTTATCACACATTCATCCAATGGGCCAGGATTAACTTGAAAATTACAAAGCAGTCAATAAAAAAACTTGATTGTAGTTACTTAGTCTATCTGTAATTGTTTTCCCTATCGTTTCAACTGGCTGAAACAAACAGCGCTTTACCAGAACTAGTTGAATATTGGACCCAATGAAAGAGAAACCTTTCTTCTGAAAATTACGTCTGCCCATATTTAATTGACACCAGTTTAAAATTGCCGGAACGTTCACTTAAGAGGATTCCATCTTAGAGAGTTTTCTTGTTCCACCACGATGACTCCAAATTCTTCCGTTCTACTAAATTCATCTTGCTCGGGATCGTGAGCTTCCTTCGGCATGCCTTTAAGGGTAGAGAACATCTCAAATGTGTCCTGTTTGCAGCTTCCGTCTTTATCTTTCTCCAAGGTCAATTCAAGGCTCTCCTCGTCTCCTTCGTTTCCTCCTTCGCCTGGGTTTGGCGGCTTCGGTTTCGGGGGTTTTTCCTACCGCCGTTACTTCCGGACTCACTATCGCCTCCCAATGCTGCATTCTTCAGCTGGTGAATGGTTGAGTACAGCTCCTTGGCAAACACAGCCAGACCTTGAAGATGCTTTGCAGCACTGGGCAGACTTTCTTCGCCGATAGCCCTCGTCAGCTCGTACAGCAAGATCTGCGGATTCACTTTTTCCAAGTCTAGAACTCCAACTTGCATGTAGTAGCGGAAAGCGTTCTGGAATTCAGTTTTGAGCCCGCTGGAGGTAAACTCGTATTTGTACATCATGTAATCGATTCGCAGGAGGCTGTTGTTGGCATAGATGACATGAAAATCAACCTTCTCTGTCTCACCCGCTGAGGTGTTTCCCAGGAACTCGTTCAGGGCGACCTTGATGAGGCTGGTTATCCCTTGCAGAAAGTTTCCACTCATGAGCTCGCCAATGGCGCCAGCTGTCGCTGGATCAGGTGCTTCCTTCACCTTGATTTTGTACTTCTGCGACTTATCCACGACTGTCACAATCGGAAGACTCTTGTCTTCAATGGCTGCAGTCTGCATCTGGGCCGATGTTGCTGCAATCTTGTCCACCATCATTTTGTGAACCGTTTGAAGCTTTTCCATTGTCTCGGTATCATTTTTGTCTTGTTGTGCTTTAATCGTATCTAAGATGTTGCCCATTCTTGGACCTTCCTACAGGTTTGGCTTAAAGAAGGCTTTTATACTGTTAGCCTGGGAGCGCCTGTTTTCATAATTTGTTTTAAATTAGATTTCCGTGTAAAGCAAAGCAGTTGCTGGGCAAATTTTTTTTAATGTGGGGTATTCCTTTGACATGTAACTTCTATTATTCCAGGTCAAACACATTTTCAATAACGGGCCTACCGAAGTGGATTGCGAGCGCAATAATATAGAAACCCAAACAAAGAAACGACATGCAGAAGATGACGTTTTATATTGACGTTAAGCTGCTTTCATCACAAGATCTTCTGCCTCTGTCGGGCACAGTGGGTTAGTTATGCGACGTTAATTAAAAATGCAAAATTAAATCTGGATTTCCATGGAGATTATGGGTGGCATTCATGCTTTGTACATACTTGGGTCAGTGTAAATATACCGAGTATTGGAACAAACTGCACTGAAGTTAAAACCCGGGTAGTGTAGTAAACCAGCCAAGAATGCAATATACCTTAATACAGTCACTTGTTTATCATCCATGGAAACATTTCTATTGA